GTATGTGAGAGGAGGCATTATTATTAACAAAGAGTTATAAGGATTTAGTATAATTCAAATCACATTCGTTGGAAAACATGAAAGGTTTCAGTGGTGGTAGCTAAAGGGTTGAAGCAACATGCATGGTGATGGTGAGTATATATGCAAATTACAAAGTTTAAAAGGAACAAAAATGATTTTTTTAAGTTTAGAATTCAAATTTCAAAAAATGATAAAGAAAAATTTGAAGCAAAACAATAAGACATTATAATAGTGCTTTTTTTTTTTCTAATATAATAGTGATTCTTTAAAGAATCGATTTTAAAAAGTAGCTATTTTAATTTATTAAAGAATCGCTAGCTTATTTAACCATACTCGTAATTTTTTGTAACAATTCTTTAAATCACACTTTTTAATAGCACTTTAGCAAAGGACCATTACTTTTTTGGGGTATTACCAAAGTTTTTTTTTAGATTATGGCACATGAAAGAAGCTAAATGTTAAGTTAAATTTAAATGTTTTATGAATCATTTGGCCTAAAGTATCAATCATAATGCAAAGTTATCACTGCCTTTAACACAACCAAATCATGATACACAGCAACTAAAAATTAAAGATTTATTAATTTACTAGGGTCTGTATCAATTTTATTTAATTAAAAAATGATAATCATAAAAAACTTAGAGTACAAAATAAAACCAAATTCAACGGTATTAAAGTATACACAAACAAGGATAAAAAAAATAAATTTTAGGTTAAATAATGTATTTATTCTCTATAATTAATACTTATTTATAATTTAGTTTATATATTTAAAAAAGTTACATTTTAATTTTCTTAATAATTTTTTGTTGCCTTTTATCCCTATCAATTATGTTTTATTTCTTGTCATTGTAATGTCGTTAACAACAAAATATTCATACAAAAATTAAAATATAAGTTTTTTTAAAATATAAAAATTAATTTTTAAACATTTTAAATATAAAAATAAATATATATTTTAATCAATCATAATTTTAAAAAAATAAAAAATGCTAAATTTCACTAAAAAATTTGTATTATAATTTAATTTAATTTAATTTTTATAACATTTATTCTTGAATAAATAAATTTTTACTTAATTTTATATTTTCATCTTTTCTTCTAATTTTTTATAAATGAATAAAATATCAATTGTAGTATTTTCATTACAATTTCTTAATATATAGCTATCTAAATTTATATATAATTTTTTATATGATAAATAAATTTTTAAGTTTTCTACCATGATAGAAATAAGTAATTTTATTATATCTACTCAAAATCTTATTACTTTATTTATAGTACTTTTTCTATTGATCAGATATTTTATTCATATAATGAAAAAATTTAGGAATATCTATTCACTTTTTCAACCGTAATAAAATGTTTTTATTATATGTAAATTATTTTTAATATTTTATTAATTATTATTATAATTTTTTTATTGATTGATATATTTACTAAATTGATAAGTTATATATTAATAAATATGTATGATTTTCAACTATAAATAGTTATTTTTGACTTAAATATATAAGTTTTTATCTCTATAAAATTCATAATTTTTTTATTTGGTACCTTATTTTTAATTTTTTTTTTAAAAAGTATACGAAAAATAGTTTTATTTTTAGTTAAAATATATATTTAATCTTTATAATTAACATTCGTTTTAATTCTTATACTTAAAAAAAAAACTTATATTTTAGTTTATACATGAATTTTTTATTATATTTTTGTCTTTGTCATTATAACACTTAAATGACAAGAATAAAAATGTAATGAAACAAAACTAACTTTTTAAAATATAAAAATTAATTCATAAATAAGTGGAAACTAAATTTATAATTTAACCTAAGTTTTATATATAAACAATGATGAAAAAATAAATTTTTTTCATGCCCTTAATTCATTCATTATATATTAGAAAAAAATCATAAACATTAGTTCTAGAAGTAAATTAGACGGACTCTTAATACAAATAGGTGGAATACTTATATTGTAGGCAAACTCATTAAATTTTTTAGGTTTCAACTCATTTAAAGAGATGTGCTCTTGAAGGCTAGGATACCTGTCAAAATTAGGTGCCACCACTACAAGATAAAAATTTCATGATAATTGGATTTAATCTCGTCAAGTCAAGCGGATAAATGGCCTCCGCCTAAGAATTTATAAGTTTCCATTATTATTTATATGTATTCATTAATTATCTTTCTCATGAGTGCTTAGTCGTACAGGAGAAACTAGATAACTTTCCTTTTTCTAGACTTAAGCTTTATTTTCATATGATCTAAGGCTTGTTCTGTACACGATTGAGTACTTCTGGTATTCTTGTTAATGGCATTTTAACTTATGAAAATATCAAAATCTATTGATGCTTACCATGCTTCTAAAATTGTAGATTTATTGTATGCGCATTTTGGTAGGCAATACTTTGTTTTTTACCATGAAAAATTGTTGCACACTTTTATAACATGTTAATATTAGAAGCTAGTTTCATTTTGTTGGCGCTCAATTATTGGGTATATATAAACTTTATAATCAGGTTAATATTAAAAGTTAGTTTAACACTTTTTATTATTTTGTAAAAAGATTATTTTACTATAGTAAAAAAAAAAAAACTTTTTTTTACCGTCACTAACAATGTTATCTTCTCCGCAGAACTCCTAAATTATATTAGAAAACCATCAAAATTATATCTCGTAATTAACTTATATACATTCGTGAAGCTGGAACTACACTTCATCTCCACGTATACCGTCGTGAACTTGACAATGGTTCCAAAATAGGTTGGTGTTCTTTTTATGCTCATTAAATTAAGAAAACGTCTGAAGTGGAGGGGAAAAAACAAAGAAAACCAAGCACCTGATAGTTGAAGTGCTTATAATGCCCTAGAATTATTAGGTAAGCATGTTGCAGTTTAATGTCGTATTCACTCTAAGATACCAAAAATATATATTAATCTTAACTTCTACAATCCGGTTAAATATTTTAAAATATAAAAAAGTTTATTAAAGTATATTTATTACAGTAAAATTATAAAAAATTTAATAAAAATTTTTTCACTAAATGTTATCGAGAGTAGTCGACGAAGAAAATCTGTCAGAAGTTGCGTGGTGTCCTAAAAAATAAGCACATGAGGTAATGTGGCTACGGTACGTGCAATACGTCATGGATGAGATGCCTTGATGAAATTTGTTTCCTTTTCCTCCCAAGCACACGAGTTCATCGTGCCCTTATTTTAACTTAACTCCTTCCTTTCTGCTTTCATTCACTTTTTGCTGCAGAATTTGCCTACCACTCACTCGACAAAGCAAGAAAAAACACACTGTAAGAATAGGAAATTTACTCCAAGTACACACCCTTTCATAAACAACTTTGGACCATAAATATGTCGACACACATTTGATATTTTCATTTTATCAACTTTTTTAACATGTATAATATAATAAACAACTAATAAATAATAAATTATTTTAAAAAACTATGACATTTAATAATATTAATATGTTAAATTTTGTAATTTTTAATCAAAATTTATTATATATAATTTCTTAATATGTACAATGATAAATAAGTTAAAAAATTGAGTAATTAGTTTCTCAAAATATCACTAATTTTAATTTTGATTTAACAAAAAATTTATTCAATTTTAGTCTCTATATTTAATAAAAGTATGATATTTTAATTCATCTACAAAGACTAAAATCATGTATTTTTTTATTAAAAAAATTGGATATTAAAATTAAATAAATTTTTTATAGACTAAAACAAAAAATAATAATATTTTTAGAAGTTAATTATTTAATTAAATCTTCCTCTTATCTTTAGTTTCATTTCTTTTAACATCACATATTATCTATCTAACTATATTTCATAAATATTCAAATAATATCAAAATTTGTTTGATATCTTTTATTCTTTTTATTTATCTTTTTTAATCACTTATCACAATTTTTTTTTGCCTTTTACGCGTAGAGACTTTTATAAATATCTATAAAATATATTTTATATCCATCACACTTATTATTTCTTTTCTTCCATTTTTATATTATTTTTTAATATATATAAAATTACATATGATAAAATTTTAAATAATAATATTATTTATTGAAAATATTAATATTAATATATTTTTATATATAAATTTATATAATTTTGGACAATTTTAAAATATCATTCTTGTGTCCTCATAGGATGTACTAAATATTTGCCTTCACAAATAGGTCCAGTGTGTATGTGTTTTTGCAATGATCGTAAAGGACATCAAATTTCACATTATGCATAATAACTTATGGATATCAAGCTCACATAAGTCCAGTTTTGCTAAGCTTTTGAAGTAGTACTTATTTAAAAAAATTAATGTAAAAAATAAATAATTTTTATGATTAAAAATAGTATACTATTTAAATTTTAGAAAAAATTAAATGGGATTTTTTAAAATAAATAAAAAATAAAGTTAATAAAAACTTATGAAAAAAAATTATTCGTTTTATTACTTTATTTTTAACTCTATAAGTATTTAATTTGTTGAAAAATTTAATAGTCAACAATATTCCCTCTCTTTATATATATATATATATATATATATATATATATAGATAGAGAGAGAGAGAGAGAGAGAGAGAGAGAGAGAGAGAGAAGAGTTATAAATATGAATTAAACAACCATACAAAATTAGTGTGGATATAAAATTTGAACAGGCATATAATTAAATAAATTTTTAAAATTTTATATAATTTATATATTCTTACGATAAAATAGATCAAAATTTAAATTTATATACATTTAAAATTTATTAATACTAGGTGTCAAATGAAAATAACTGCATCACTTGCATGTCCAAAGTAAGTATTTAGCTGATTATGGGGGAAGATTTACAAAGTAGCACCTACCTGATTAGCATCTAAACAGTAATTAAATAATAAAAAAAAACGAAATAAAATGACTATATAACAAGTATTGTATGGAATGGCAATCCTACTTGTCTCCTTCGGATTGCACATCACTCCTCTCCCTCCTTATTCAATATCCTTTTACTATACCTCACAGCTTTATCCTCAACTTTCCATCAATGGAACTCCATTCACTCCAACCCTTATTCACATCCTCTTTCGCTTCCCTAACTCTTTCCATCACCATCTTCATCATCCTCGTAGCCATCGCCTCTCGTTTCCCACGAAGGACCCTCTTCTTCTGCAGCTGCGAAACGTGCCAAGCTTACCTCACATCAAGCTGGTCCGAACACTTCCACAACCTTTGCGACTGGTACACGCACCTTCTCCGAAACTCGCCAAACAAAACCATCCACATACACGTGTTGAAAAACATCATAACCGCCAACGCCCAAAACGTTGAGTACATCCTCAAGACCAGGTTCGATAACTTTCCAAAGGGGAAAACCTTTTCCACTATCCTCGGCGATTTTCTCGGCCGAGGAATCTTCAACGTCGACGGCGATTTATGGCGCTTCCAGAGGAAAATCGCCAGCTTCGAACTCAGCAAGCTCTCCATAAGGTCCTTCGCTTTCGAAATCGTGAACTGCGAAATCCAACACCGGCTAATCCCTCTTCTGTCGTCTAACCAAAGCGGCGTCGTTTTGGACTTGCAAGACGTTTTCAGGAGATTCACTTTCGACAGCATTTGTAGATTCTCCTTCGGGTTAGACCCTATGTGTCTCGAAAAGTCGTTACCCATTTCAGATTTCGCTTTTTTTTTCGACGTGGCATCAAAATTATCCGCGGAAAGAGCCATGGCCGTGTCCCCTTACGTTTGGAAGATGAAGAGGTTGTTGAACGTAGGTAGCGAGAAACGGCTAAAAGAAGCGGTTAGAATGATTAATGTTTTAGCCGAAGAGGTTATTAAGCAAAAGCGCGAAATGGGGTTCTCTCACCACAAGGACTTGTTGTCGCGATTCATGAGCACGATCCATGATGACACTTATTTAAGAGACATTGTTATAAGCTTTTTACTAGCGGGTCGTGACACCGTGGCTTCAGCACTCACTAGCTTCTTTTGGCTAATGGGAAAACACCCAGAAGTTGAGTCAGAGATTCGGGTTGAAGCGGATCGGGTAATTGGACCAAACCAGGATCTCACAAGCTTCGAACAGCTCAAACAATTGCACTTTTTACAAGCGGCAACACACGAGAGCATGAGGTTGTTTCCACCGGTTCAATTCGATTCTAAGTTTTGTTTGGAGGATGATGTGTTGCCAGATGGGACAAAAGTGAAGACTGGAACTAGGGTTACATACCATCCCTATGCCATGGGTAGGTTGGAGGAACTATGGGGTCATGATTGTTTGGAGTTTAGGCCACAAAGGTGGTTGAAGGATGGGGTGTTCCACCCCGAAAACCCGTTTAAGTACCCAGTTTTTCAAGCAGGGTTGAGGGTGTGTATGGGGAAGGAAATGGCTTTGATGGAGTTCAAAAGTGTGGCACTGTCGTTGCTTCGGAAGTTCCACATCGAATTGATGGCACCATGTTGTGGAAACCCTCGCTTCTCTCCGGGACTCACTGCCACTTTTAGTTTTGGGCTTCCCGTCATGGTTCGTGAAAGAGGAACAACTAAACCCCTTCATCGGCCTCCTCAAAATTGATATCAAGCACGTGGACTCACCTACTAGTATATTTACATTTCGGATTTTGGTATTTATTATAAACAAAATTTTGGTGCAGTATTTTTTATGTTGTTTTTTTAATTAAAATCAAAATTAAAATTGACACATATTACTAAAATAAAATTTTAATTAAAAATAATAATAACACTGCACTTAAACTTTGTTCATTTATTATTTATTGTACACACGTAGGATGCACCTCTCTGAAACATGCATGTGTAAAAAGATTTTGCAATTTATAGAACATGATCATGATGAAATGATGATGTATGGCTCCACACATAGTAGATTAGTGCTGGGAAAAATAAAGCGACGCCATTTTTTGTGCACCATCAGATATGCAATTGACTAACGAGGAAAAGTGAGTGGGATGGGATGCGATCATCAATGGCGTACGGGGAGAAGCAGGGCCTTGTTTGGCGGTACTACTAAATTAAACCAGAATGAATGTCCTGGTGTCGGTGGATTCTCTCGATTTCTATGTTAAGGTCCACCATTAATGTTGAGCTTGCTTCCTGCAGTTGTTGGTTTTGACTGTGCACGTGGATATTGCTCAGTGGATCAAACATTAATTATATTTAGCATATAGTGCGCCACGAAAGTACTCGTGAGATGTTTGTGTTGTATGATTGTTTGTCTGATGTTATATATACAAGAAAAATTAAACCCGCAATAATCCTTATGTGCAGCTTCATGTGATCTGAATGTTTAGGGTAAAAACTAAAACTCATACTATTTGTTGAAAGTGTAAAAATTATTTTAATTAGTAATGTTATACATTTTTTATTTTGTAAAATATCTTTATTTTAAGTTTTTATGGTGTAAAATGATAATAAAATTGAATTTTAAAAATACCTTAATATATTATTTTTTTCAAAACTAAAACTCTATATTTACATATTTGATTTCTTTTTATTCTAGAAAACTAAATCCTTATTTTTATGAGAGGTCTTTTGGAAAATGGGCAAAAATTATTGAAGCTTACGGCAAGAAGGATTTACTCGATTCTACTTATGCACTGAGAATTTTTTATTGAATCGGAATTTGGAAATATCATTTTTTCATTAATGAGATAAATTGACAAGTATCGATAAAAGTACTCAATGAATATGTTATTGTATTGGACAAAATTTATGTATTTTTTTTAGATGTTGTTAATGTTGTTTATTAATTAAGTAATTATGATTAAAAAGGAGAGAAATTTTGAATATTATTCAAGGAAAAATTGAAAAAAATGGAGATAATTGAAATAAAAGAAAACTAAATAAAACAAAAAAAGAATTAATGAAATTGAAACGATTGTTGAAAAGAAAATGGTTGAGAATCCTTTGATGAGTAGTATATTTACAGGGCTTTGTATAAGTTTCAATAACAAAGTTCTAACTCTTATTACATTGTACAATTTAATATTTATAGACCAAAGACCCTAACAACGTGCAAATAACTTATTGTAATTGTGTTTATTAATTTCCTATGATCATCATTGATATTTAATTTTATAGTCTTGATTTTTCACCATTAGTGACTTCTATCTTGAGATCTTCCTTTCAAACACAATCTTACCAAAGAAAAAAAATATATACTTTTAAACTTTTTTTATAATTATTTTAAAACTTGATTTAATAACTTTGATGTCAACACATATTTTGTTGTTCGACTGTAATTATCTAATGTTAACTTTTTAGTAACAAAATATTAAAAAATAAAATAAAGTTAAGAATGTGTTTGATATTTTTTTTTTCATTTAGCTTTTAACTTATGTTACTTATTTATTATTTAACCAAAATTATTTGATAAACAAATTTATTTCATTAGTTTATCACATCTTTTTTACGTTACTTGCATTTGAGTATATAGCTTATAATTTATTACACTTTACCAATTTTTAGCGAACAACTTTCAATTAAAAAATGATCGTTTAACTTTAGACTAGTTTATTTTGTTAATCACTTCGTCCTTGTATATATCATGTGAATATTAAACTAATTGCGGCAATACTTACAAAATTGTATATTAGATTCTGATCAACATTATATTCAATTATTATTATTATTATTATTATTATTATTATTGCAGCAAAGTCTTTATGATCTGATATACGCTCATCGTAGGAATTTTATTTTATATTACTATAAATTTAAGGGATAACACCTTTTTAATCTTAAATAGCAAGGAAGGAGAACCGTTGGAGTGATTAAATCCAAGTACAAGACCTTCTAATAGTATTATATTTGATTCTTATCTTCTTATCTCGCTCTATTGTGCATACTTAAAATAGATTTTTTAATCTCTCTAATTTTATAAATTAAAGAAAATAAAGGATGAGATGACTTGGACATTTAGAACAAGACTAATTGCGTCTTTATAGTCGCATTCAATCTAAATGGTCTTCACCTTATTTTTAGTCACCAACTGAATCCCGTGGTAGATACCCCAAAGTTTAACAATAGTAGGAGAGCAAGGTTCCAAGCTGGTGTGAAAACCAAAAATGAAATTGCCACAATTATCTCGAATAAGGCTACCACTGGCACTAGCCTTGTTAACTATAGAAAGTGCTCCATCAACATTTAATTTCAACTAGTTCATAGGAGGAGGAATCCATTTGATCTTTCTATGATCAACAACAATTTTGGCTATATATTTTGTATTGTCTTGGCAATAAGAGAAAAATTTAGAGTTATAGAGAACCTTTTGAACTAAACTATTAGGAGGGACAAATGAGTTCTGAAATATAAATTCATTCCTTCCCTTCCAAAGGTTCTAGATAATAATACCAAAAAACATATTCCAATTATGGAAGTTGTTAACAATAATACAAGACAAGTTTGACAACATCCAAGCATCCAAACCCTTAGAGAGAAATTGAGCCCATTGGTTTGGAACAATGAAATGATTTCAGACCTATTTGGCATATAAACAATCCCTCAAAACATGCATAATAGTTTTAGGGCCTTTCCCACATCTAGTACAGGTAGGAGAATCAGTCATGCTACATTTAACTCACTCATTATTTGTGACTAATTTCTCATGAACTATTTTTCAAAGGAGGAAAGCGACTTTAGGTGGGCCTTTCTAGGTCCAAACAGTTATAAATAATACATGACTACTATTATTTTGGTGAACAAACTTATGAAGTAACTGATAAGCTGATTTAATTAAAAAAAAAATACCATTATGAGTTACATTCTAATATATTGCATCAAACCAACTAAATTTATTAGGGAGTTAATCTGGGCTATAAGATGGGAGATCTAATCAAGAAGAACAAATGATATTCTCTCCCAATTTCACTCTTCTTTTTCATCAAATAAAGCTACAAGGGAGTCCAAATCCAACTCAAAAGTAAGGACTAAAGCATGATTAGATAATTTATTAAGACTAGAGATTCAACTGTCTAACCAAAACTTTGTTGCCATGCCATCTTTGACAAACCATCCTAAACCCTTAGTAAACAGAGACCACATAGACATGAGATTTTTCCAAAGGTAGGAAGCTTTCTAAAATTTTCTAGATCCCACGTTATTATCTATCACAAATTTATATTTGTACTAAAGACTTGAGTCTACAAATAAAAAGGATTATTTACTAACCTCTAGCAAAGCTTCATTAGATAGGCTTTATTAAGCATATAAAGGTCTTTAAATCCTAAGCTCCTCTTAAATTTTGGTTTATAAATATTATGCCAGCTAATGAGATGATATTTCCTACCTTCGAGAGATCTACAAATGAATTTCCTACAAATACTATTGATCTCATTACAAATAGATGAAGGAAGTATGAGAGATTGCATAATACAATCTAAAATACTTAGAAGATAAGATTGAGTTAGAGTAATCCTACTAGCTAAAAATACAGATTTTATTTTCCTTAAAGATAGCTTCTTCTTTATTTTGTCTAAATAGATGAACGAAGTAGGAAAGATTACATAATATAAGATGAAATACTTAAAAGATAAGATTAAGTTAGAGTAATCCTAGTAGCTAAAAATACAGATTTTATTTTTCTTAAAGATAGTTTCTTCCTGATTTTGTCTAACAAAAAAGAAAATTAATGTCTTGAAAGTTTGCTATGCAAGATGGAAATACTAAAATATTTGACAAAAGTGAAAATAAAAATAACATAATATTTTTAAAATTTTAAAAAATAAAATATCGAGATTTATTATTTAAAAATCAAAAGTATGGTTGTTTAAATTAATAGATAATATAACGTATGTTGTGCATTATGATATTATATTTGAAGGGATACAAGTAGATAAGAAAGTGTATAGATGAAAATAATTTGTTTTAACGTGGAAAGAGAGGAAGTTGTCCAGCAGAAAATAATAAACTTGATTTCTTCCATGGAGATTTATTAAAAAGGCAAATATTAATGAGTACATTAAAAGTCTTGGTAAGAAATTATTAAAAAATCAATATACTTTTATTTTAATATGTTTTTAATGAAATTTTTAATTAGTTATTTATTTAATATTTTTTTACTACCTTCTATTCCTCATTATTGTTATTATTATTTATCAATGCCGTTTAAATAAACTTATGTTTTTATTGAAAATAAATTAGGAATTAGAAACGATAAAAGGGAGTTGATAACATGCCCCGGCTTTGGCATGAATTATTTGCCGTGTTGTCACTAACGCCGTCATTTGCCCAATGCGATAATATTTTATTATTTTTATTTTTAAGGTTTAACCAAATTTTTTAATCTAAAAAATTCACAATTCACAATCTTAAAGATTCAGTTACTTTAATTTTTGTACTTGCTAAATCCTAAATAAGTGACTTGGTTTAGGGTTCGAACCCTGAATGCAAACAAAAGGAATGGAAAAAGCGAACGATAACGCTTGCATCGCTGAACTATTTCACTTGAAGGGGAAGAAGAACAAGACCAAGAAGAAGTCGAAGAACGAGACCGAGCCAGTTGCTGCGAAAGAAGCAGCAGATTCTGCAACAGCCATAACCGTAAATAATGGGGATGATGTTAGTACTTCCAGTGGTGTTAGGATTTCTTCGTTTGATTTCTCTGTCGACAAGTTCTTCCGAAGCATGGATACCATTGCCAGACTCTGCGGCGAAGAAGAACGCGATGCTGATTCTGAACAAAGCGAGATTCGGAGAATGTCTTCCTCAATCACTTTCTTAAGGTACAATCAAACCAAATAGCGTGATGCGTTATGCAGAGAATGTATCTTGTGAAGGAATATTTGGTAAACAGCTTTCATCATATTGAATTTTGGATAAAATAGAAGCGCTAATTTGAACTGGAGAGGGATATATATCAAAGGAGTCCACACTCCATCGTGTTCTATTTCCTGCAATGCGTACTTCCCTGCCTCAATTTTGCTCCGTTTGATTATTGATTTGTTATTTATGCTTTGATTGATAGTGGTTCTGTGTATAAAGTACGACTTTCAGCTATTAATGATAAATATGCATTTCGTTTTTTTTAGTATTTATACGTGTATAATGTAAATTATTTTATATTGTATCCATAATCTTCAGCATAACGAAACAACTTTGGCATGGTTGTTCTGACTTATGAGAACTACGTTGTAAAATTGGTTTTCATAATGACCAGTTCTTAAAAGTATTAGTAGTTACCACTTACTGAAATTCTTGTATATGCTTATACATCTAGTTTTTAAAAGTTTCCAAATAAAAACTTAATTTCTTATTTTTGTTGACTTTAAATGTGTAGAGAATGGAGAGATTTTAAATATCCATCAAGAAGCATTAAATTTGCCTATGGACTTGAGAGCTCAGAGTGTTCTAAGGGAAAAGATGACATTACAGTAAATCTGCCTCAGTTTTCATCTGCCTCTGTTCCTAAGGCACAAGAGGTTCAGTATTGTATTCTTGTTTATTTTGTTTCCTTCGCTAATCGTGGCAACATAAAATTTCTCGGTACATTTACCTTTTAAGTTTGAAATTTTAATAAATAGACTTCCTAAACATTATTATTGTGTATGCTTTTCTTAGCATGACATGCAAGAGGAACAACTTGGGGAGGCCAAATCTCAGGAATGCAGGTATGGCTAAGATATAGGTATTTGAGTTGTTTTATTCATTCACATTGCTATGGAGTTATAGCGCATGCTTGCGTTAATCATATAAGCCTTATCTTTGAACTTGCTGATAAATTGAAGTATTTTATCACTGCTAATTATTTAACTTGGCTAAACACTTCAAGTCTTGTTGGAGCAGAGACTTTGTGATGAATGTTGGAGGCCCTGTGTGGGCATTAGATTGGTGTCCTCAGATACATGAAAAGCCTGAGTGTTCAATTAAATGTGAGGTACTTGGTTTGCTCTCTAGCTTTAATACATCTATCGAACCTTCTTGAAAATTATTTTTATTGTTTAGCTGCTGTGATGGGAAGTCTTTGACGCTTAATGCAATCTTAAATTCTTAATGGTGAATTCTGTCTGTCTGATTGTTCCTTATGATGTCTCATGTGTTGAGGGTGATTGCCTTTGAAGTAAAGTTTCATGGTGAGGGGGTTCTAATTCCTTGCCTTGTAGGATTGATGGTTGTGCATAACAGTTTTAGGGGGTGAACTATGCTCTGAAAATATTGGATCTTGATTGTAAATATGTAAGTTTTCACTAAAGAAAAGTTGCCAGGAGGTGTAAGCAGTGCATGCTGTGAAAGATTTCTTTCTTTGTTTTTAAATTCAGGTGAACAATACAGTGATTGTGAGACATTTCTTAATGAAAGGGAGAAAATGTAGTAATTTTGCTATTAATTTTTTTTAACATGTGACTGAATGGGGTGTGTTTTAATTGTGGTGATAAAGTTGGAAATCAGAGTTTAGATGGCTGTTTATGGGCAGTGGAGAGCCTTCTAAGGTTAATGGTTGTGAACAACTGTTTTAGAATTAATGGTTAAACAGGACTCTAAAAATGTTGAAGCTCTATTGTAAGGATATAAATGAGTTTTGACAATATATCAGCAGAAGCTGTGGCTGCTGCTGTTGTCAAAAGATTTTTTAACTACTAGGTGATTGTAAACTATTTTTGTAACCACCAGTTTTTAGATTGTTATATAGATGGAAGGAAAAATATAGTAATTTTTTGGAGTCTTTTCCTTTTCTTATTTTATCATTCAACATTGTGAGGCATGTTGTAGCATGCCAACAAAACAAGGTCATAAGGCTGTTTATTGGCAGCAGATTATGCTGCTTGAACATTATTCGTGCAATTTTATTTTTCCATATATGATTGATGCTCAAATTCAATTTCTACCACATCCATTGGAAGGTTTAGGTTTTAAGTTCATTTTATTTTATTACTTAAAAGTTTTTTTTTAGTAGATAGCTGGAAGAAACAGAAAAAGAGGATTGAGTGGTAGAAACAGGAAGAACGGAGAGAAGTTTCTCTCTGATTATTTAATGATGATTTAGGCCTAGTATATGAAGGATTTTGGATTTTTTTTCATATATTTTTCCTCCACCACTTTATCATGTGTGCCAGAAACCATGGACTCAACTCAACAATGATGACATATTTAGGTTGAACTGCCACATGCCACACCTTAGGGTTTTTTATGATGGATGCACTAATATCAAGTCATGATGCCATAGCAATGCAATTGACAACACTATCCTAGTATTTTACAATAAACCTGCTTTATATACATATTTGGAATAATTTTGTGGCTGCTTTGTCATTTGTTTGCATGCACTTGTATTATATGTAGTGAAATGATACACTAAGCTTTACCCTTTAAACATGGAAGTAGGAAATAGTGGACACTTTCTTTTGTAAACCTTGTACATTAAATGGCCTTTCTGATGTTTGTTTTAGTTTATTGCTGTTGCTTCTCATCCACCTGGCTCTTCTTATCACAAGATGGGTGCCCCAGTTACTGGCAGAGGTGTCATACAAATATGGTGTCTTCTAAATAGCATGGGACACAATGAAGTAGTATCTTCTCTCGCAGAGAAAGGACAAAAGGGACCTAAAAAAAATGGAGGCTCAAATGACAAGTCAACAGAAATAAAGAAGCCCAGAGGAAGACCTAGAAAGAATCCAACAGTGATTGCAGTGGATGATATGAATTGTGAGACTCAGACCATGCCAACTCTTGCTGTTCAATTTGCAGAAAATTCTACTGAGTTTCCTTTTCCAGATGGGAAGCTTGAAAATGATGGAGAAATACTTTCTAAAAAGGATGGGGGCACAAATGACAAATCAACACAAATGAAGAGGCCTAGAGGAAGACCTAGAAAGAATCCAGCAGTGATAGCAGGGGATGACACAAATTGTGAGACCCAGCACAAGTCAGTTCTTGCTGCTCAAGTCTCACAAAATTCTATTGATTTTCCTGCTCCAGATGGGAATCTTGAAAACAATGTAGAAATACTTCCTATTACATACACGAGAAAAAGAGGGGCCAAGAATAATGAAAGCACAAATGAAAATTCATCACTAATGAAGAAGCCTAGGGGAGGACCTAAAACAAATTTAAAAGAAGTTACAGGGAGTGACCCAAATTGTGAGAACCCACCTGTGGCTCTTGATGTTCAATTTCCCCAAGATCCAGCTGAATTTGTTTCTCCAGATGTCACTCATGACAATTGCAATGAGTATGCTTTGCAACAATGTTGTGTTACAAAACAAAGGCATGCCAAGAAAGCTGCTTCTGCATGCAATACTATTTCAACAAGTCTTGTTAAAAGCAGCAGGTTGAAAATTAATCATAGGGAGGAGAGACATAGCCAAGATATAAGTCAGCCACCATTGACCCAGTCTGAGAATGAGGTAAATCATCAACCGTGTTGTAGCTCTGAATTGAAACCTCCAGCAGCAACTTGTTCCATTCTAGGAGATGTAACTTTGCCTAGGGTAGTGGTATGCCTAGCTCATAATGGAAAGGTGGCATGGGATGTGAAATGGCGGCCTCCCAACTTTTCTGATTCCTTATGCAAACACCGGATGGGCTATCTTGCTGTCTTGTTGGGCAGTGGATCTTTGGAAGTGTAAGATGTCTTGATCCTCATTCTCCTTTTGCTATTATTGGTATTCTTCATGATACTGAAATGATTTCTTTTTCTTTTGTTGACTGTGTTTATATGTTGCTACTGACTGTCATCTTTATTCAACTGTAGGGAGTTGAAATTTGGATATAATCAAATACAATTGTAATTACTATAGTATCATACTGTATCATAACAACCTTATGAAAATTTGAATGAGACATAATGGAGATAGTTACTGAAACAGAGAATTAGGATTTACAGTAGCCATAGCTTGAGTGAAATGTGTGGTAAGCTAGTTATTCCATGGCTTATTATAGTCATTATTTGGGTACATATATTGTATGTGACACAGTTTATTCTAAAAGATGAAGTAAAATTTTCAGTAAATAAATAATTGCAATAGTTAGTACTCTTTTTTATGTCTCATTCTGTGTATTTTCAATATTTTTATCTGTGCAAGTGCACACATGTAATGACAAATCTCTAAAGGAAAATTGTGGAAACTCGGAAGAATTTCTGGTCATCGGTCATAGTTGGCTGTAGCAATTAAATCTGTTTGAAAAAAGAATGTTTTAGTCTGGTTTTATTGTGGGGAGAAAAATTAAGAGAGATTTATGTTACTTCATAATTTATAGGATACCTCAAATTTATATCACTATTTAACTTGGCAATTTCTTCTGTTGTTCTTAATGATACTGTTCTTTCCAACTTATAAATTTCAATAGTGGCTATATAACTGAGACAATAATCCATGGAATTGTCATTTAATGTTTCTATGAAATTAATTATAGTAGAGAGGCCTCTGATAAATTGATATTCTTGTTCCTTTAGATCGGAAACTTGATTACTTATTCTCAACAAAAGTGAGATCCTTTATAAAGTATTGTTGGTTTTGAGTAACATTGTGATTTGGGTGGCTTTTGTTTTTGTTTGAACTTGTCAATTGCAGGTGGGAGGTTCCTCTTCCTCATGTATTGAGAACAATTTATATGCATAGTGAGGGCACTGATCCACGATTTATAAAATTGGAGCCTGTATTTAAATGTTCAATGTTGAAGCGTGGTGGCTTACAAAGGTATGAAATCCTTCATTCTCTCAAGGTTGGACACCTGCATGCTAAACCCATCTACTGAAGATATTTGAATAGATCATGAATAAATTCAATTACTGAAGATAAAAATTCATGAACAAATTTAATTTAAATTCATTTATGATTGCTTGATAATTAGAATAGATAAAACAAATTTGAAATAAACACTATTTGAATTTTAAATATATAAATAAATAAATAAAATTTTCCATTAAAAAAGTACTTTCTATTGCATACACAAATATTTGCTAAAGCTTTTCAAACTGTCATTTTAATTAGATTTATTTTTGAGTTTTGCTGATTATTTTTTCAAACATGTCCTATATATCTGCAAATAATGATCAATTATTGTATATTATTTTCATAAATTAATATTATTTATGGTCATAAGTGCACCCATTCTTATTCCTTAAAGGTTAATTTATTATTAAAGCAAATTTAAATACTGTTACTTTTTAAACTCTAGTAGTTTGAACATGAATTTTCCCTATATGTTTTTTTTTAAGAAAAGAACTCTTATTTTCATAATATATATTTGTATACAAACCAAATTTAGAAAGGATGGCAAAAATGGGAGCTTAATTCAGTTTTTGACTGGGTATACATGATTTTTTTAGGGTAAAAGTAGTTGGATGTTCGCATTGATAATAGTATTCAAACAGTGGTTGGTAGCTAGTGGGATGTTTATTATGTTTGGAAACTCCACTGTTCTTGACTCTCTTCGATCCCTATTTTTTGTTTGTCACTAGAATGATAATTTCATGAATAACAGAAAGCTACTTGACATTATCCTTTTAGAAAACAATGGGACTCCATTATGGGGCTTGTTTTGGCTGTACAGTGAATTAAGAAAGCTGTATATAGAACTTTCCACTGTACTGCATAGTGATATCAGAATAATTTTTTTATAAAATAGGTTCATTGATTACATCCTAGTGGCAAGTTTTCATCATTTAAATTAACGTTTTCATAAGTTTTTACTTTAATTCTTTTTATGGTAACACAAATACACAATGTTAATGTGAAAGGGTTGAGGCACTATTGAAAGAAATGTTAGATTTTATTGAGATTTATTTTATATATAAACTTTAGAATATTCGTTTTAAAAGAACTTATGAATCACCAGGAAAAGATTGCTCAATTGAATGGTGCTATTGACATGTTGGGTTCTGCTGGTTAAATTCATGAAGCTGCAGAATCTTATTGAATTTATGTGTTTAATTTATGTTTAATAGTAGTCTAGCTATGTGGTGCAATTTACTCTAATGTTTTATCTCACAGCATTCCGCTCTCAGTGGAGTGGTCAGTTACGCCCCCTCATGACTATTTACTTGCTGGCTGCCATGATGGAACGGTATAATTCACAAAATGTTGGTCAATTATATGTTTTCTGCTTTGTCTAAGTTGAAGTTTATGTTGTTTTGATAATTAAGAAATATATTTGTCCATGAAGTTTCATTCAGAGTGAAAAGGGAGAAAACTTTCTATTCTTTTTCCTTAATAGTTTTTTTCCCCTTTATCTTTCTCTAATACTTTTGTATTTATAACATATTATGTTCCTCAATAGTATTGTTCCATTAAAATATGAGCATATTGTCCTGTAAAACCTTTTTCCACAATATATCTCTAGTAATATAATTTGCTTTCTATTTAGGTTGCTTTGTGGAAATTTTCTACAAATTCTTCATCCCAATGTGATGGTAATATTTCTGTTACCAGAAGCATGTCTCATTTTTTACCTATTTGGTTGTTAGGGAAGGTAACTATGTTGAAAAACAAATTTATATTTTATTGTTTATTTACTCAATTTTCAATCTGCAGATACAAAACCGGTGCTTTGTTTTGGGGGAGACACAGTTCCTATTAGGACTGTTGCCTGGGCTCCATTTGAAGGGTTAGTAATAACTGAACCTTTCTCGGCCATGGCAATTTGGTTTGGTTGTTTGCTTTAAATACATTGCTATTACTGTAGTGTATATCCTTAAGAAACTTGGAATTCTGTGCAGATTATAAAGAACTATTCTGCAAATGTTTATGATTTTTCACATCTCTACATTCTCTCATTGTTAAACAAAAAACAATTCTATCTAATTTTTTCAGATAATATACGAAACTTATTTCTCTATGTGTATATTTGTGCGCTTTTGAAATTGTGGTGAAGATTGATTTATTCCATATTTTCTTTTTCAGTTATGCTCGGAGGATATCAATTCTTATGCATGTAATGTAACTAGTTTCATATCAACGCTTAATCAAACACTTTCTTGTTAAAAGTAATAAAAATACCATCATTTGTGTCCGGACATGGTTTGCAAGTCAACCATTTTTTATTTATGATGTACACATGCACCTTTTTTTTCATAAAGAATGCTTCAATAACCAGGCACTAGTTTTTTATACCTGCAAATATAATACATATGAATTCAACTGTATTTACATCATTTGTCCATCTTTTTACCTTCATTTGCTTGATGTTATGTGGGATTTTATTATATATTTCAGCAATCCAGAGAGTTCTAATATAATAGTAACTGCCGGACATGAAGGCCTTAAGTTTTGGGATCTACGGTGAGCCTTTTTTTTCTCCCTCCTTTTTGTTTATTTACTTTGTTATTTTATTTCTTTTTAGTTCATTTTAAACATCAAACTTCAATGAGTTTTGTTTTGAATGACATTGCAATTGTAATATGCAATTCTATAAAACTGGCTCAGACCAGCAAACTAGAGAACCAATATGTTGAACAGTTTGAGCAGCATGTTGATTGGTTATCTAACTGAATCAGTGTGCACTGTGATTTGGCCAGTTTTTGAGCTGACTTATGCCTAACAGGCACAGATTTTGGAATTTGGAAGTGTCTCAATCTCAACTAAAACCCTCAATTGTTCATGCTTCTCGCTGACAATCTCTTTTCTCCTTGATAAACTCCACCCAACTTTGTCTCAATGTAGGTCTCCCTTCATTCATATGGAGCCGGCTGAAACACGAGAACACCCAACCCACCAACATTACTTAAAAAAAGATTAGTGTTCTATAAGATGTAATTTAATTATATTGAGATATTTTTTGTTTAATAATAGATCATAATTTACATAAAATCTAAAGTTATGCATTTGTAGAATGAAAAATTTATACAATACATATCTAAACTATTAATTCTAAACTGTTAGATCATTATTTAACTATTAATATTTTCAAACATTATAATTAACCATCAATATAAAATAGATGATAATCGAGAAAAAGTGACACTTGTGAACCAAAATATTTGCCTCAGGCTCACATCTTAACCAAAGAATAATGATACATTGGGTTGAGTTGCCTTCAAAATGCCACCTTGGTAAAGAAAATATTTATGCTGATCTCTCGACATGGTTAAGCATTCTACCAACCAAGTTATCACCAAAATAGGGATGAACACTATAAGGTAGTGCAAAATCCTACCTAGGCCAAGGCCACCTTTATATCAAAGTGTTCTGCCACCTTCCACCCCCTTCTCCTATATGATCCCTTATTATTACAATTTTGATTCCCCAATTCTTTTATCCCAATCTCTTTTTGCCAGCTGTCCATTTTGTTATGCATTTCCCTCTTTCAACTGATTCCTGTACCTTCACTTCCTTCTTTCATCGATTTCCATCCTTTCCCCTCTTTTATCTCTTTCTTCTCTCGTCACCACCGACATGCCTTCGCTACTATTAGGCCCATTTTTCTGTTTCTTTCCTCAACTGTGGATCAGTGGCTCATCAGAAAGCTAACTGCAAACGTGTGATGAATCACGTGAAACTAAAGCATGGGAAAACAGAGAAACATCAAAGGACTTCAATCTTTTGGAAACTCAAGCAGAATAGTAATTGGATTAGGTTACAAACTGCTCTAATAACATGTTGAAATTCTAGAGTTTACGGGGAAATGGAGGAAAAGAAAGAAAGGAAGCTCTCAGTAATATTCTCATTGTATGTTACGGTGTTATAGAGCTACTAGCGAGAAAAGGCTTTTGATTGTTGTTTGTTGCAGCTGCATGTTATAACGCAGTACTACTAAATCTGGCACCCTCCAAAATTTGACATATATACATTTCCATTCATAGTGTGAGCTATGGAGGCACCGCATCATAAGTCAACTGTGGAGCCAAATGTTTTCTTTTTTGTATTATCTGTATGTTCATGTGAAGCAGCTTTGATATTTCCATGATCATAAAGGATAAACATTACTTATTTATGTCAAAGTGTATGATTTCTTATTTATGTGCGACAGAGCAATTACCCTTAGCCATTGAGTCTGCTAAGCTTGTTTACAATGATTTACTCTAAGCATGAAAATTTATTTGTAGTAATCCATTTCGTCCTTTGAGGAACCTCCACCCTGCACCAAGAATCATATACAGTCTGGATTGGCTGTCAAACCCAAGGTAATGCATAATTTTAACTGGATAAAATGCTGTCTAAACTCGTCATTATGATTAACCCAGATTTATTATGTTTTTGCTTTTCTAGTTGCATCATTATGTCCTTTGAGGATGGAACAATGAGAACCTTTAGCTTGGTGAAGGCGGCAAATGACCTTCCTGTCACTGGAGAAACATACAGCGGAAAAAAACAACCAGGGTTGCATAGTTCTTCATATTCATCGTTTGCCATTTGGAGTGTTCAAGTTTCACGTATAACAGGTGGCTTTTCAGTATGCATTACTTCAGTGACGTTATCATTAGTGTCTTATTACTAGAAACACTTTAACCATAGGCATTGAAAACTTATGTAATATTAATCTTACCTATAAAGTAATTAGTTTTTCTAGGCAAACAAGCTCCTTGTAATGATAAATTTGTTTCTGTTTGGTTTTCAAAATATCATAACAAACCATTTGAAGAATTCATTACCATTATTGTTATTATCTAACGATGGGTTTATTTTTATTATGATAGGCATGGTTGCATATTGTGGTGCAGATGGCACTGCTTTTCGTTTTCAGGTAATTCCAATATTTAGTTGGAGATGTCACTTGCAATTACCTGCTGCTCTTCTTTGATGACCAAATTGTCTAGAGTTCGCATTGCCCAATTTTATAGTCAAGTTGAATTTCAACGCAAGGAAATGTGGGCTTACACATTGTTAATACTTAAAGCAAAATGGTTTGTTACATGGGTGCCCTTAATTATCGAACTAATTGCCCAATTTTACTGGCATTATATTGGACCAGAGGCTGTCTTGTATCTCTTGTTGGCCTTGAGATTAGGAGTATAAGATCTATTATACACTTTTTTTTCGGTAATTAAAAGGGGACAAGGTCCAAAATATACCGACGTAGATAATATGAGCTCATGATGATTTTCTCTGATCCAGAAAACCTAAATGTGCTATAGAAGTTGAAAGCTACTAACGATGAATAGGCTATATAAATTTTTAGTGTAAATCATACTTTACTCCTTTTAGTGTCACACTTTCTCAAAATACTCTCCTGTTTTTTATTTATGTCACTTAACTCATTTATACTTTTTTTGTATAACGAAATCCCCTTAAATACTATCATCAAAAGCTAATAAGTCTAAAACCATAGTTAAAATAAGAAAAGATCATGGTTTAGCACTTAAAGTGGTTTTGTGATATAAAATAAAAGTATAAGTGGGTTAAGTGATTCGAAAAGAAGGGGGTAATACTCTGAGAAAGTGTAAAACTGCATGAGATAGTGTGTAATTTATCCTGTGTTTTAACCAAGGCTGAAGAAATACAAAATAAGTGATCATGTGAAGCAATATCGGTGCATGGAGCTTTCAAACGAAATAGCCTGCTTGTCTTGCCAGTTATTAACAACTGATGGACAAACCTCATGTCCTCTTATAACTGAGAAATCGATGTTTTTCTTTAGTAAAGGAACAAGGATTTGCGAGGACTCCAGTTTATAATCTAGTATGGAAAAAGTACAGTATTGATAGTATTCCTCAAAATTTTTCAAATTTGTAACTGCAATCATTGATTAATGCATATGAATTTTCTCCAACCCCCTCCCCCAAAGAGAAATAATTCTAAGCTTTTTGTTTATTGTACTCAGCTTACTACTAAAGCAGTCGAGACAGATCATTCACGCAATCGACTCCCACACTTCCTTTGTGGGTCGGTAACTGAGGAGGATTCAACTCTGATTATCAACACTCCTGTATCAAATGCTCCTTTCCCGGGGAGGAAGTCACGTGACAAGGGCCGGTATGCTGAATCTTTCCGAGACTTGCTATCCAAGTCAAATCCAAGCAGAGGTGCGAATAATCAAATGGCAGAAACTTCTAATTCTGATTCTCAGAATTTAGGTCAGCCTTCCAAACCATGATGTGATTAACCAATATGATTTGCTGCCATGGTTTCTCTGAGAATTTTTTTTTTAATTGGTTGCAGCCCTCTGTGATGCTGACAATTTGGGTTTGCAAGCTGGCTCTGATGAAGTGTTGTGTTCTGTGAAGCAGCCAAAAAAACCAAAACTGAGTAGTAGCAGCAAGAAAAAATCAGTAGAAAGCCAAGCTTTTGTTTGCAGAGATGATGTGTCAACAAGCACTCCCGGGCTTGACAATGAAAAGTCAGATTTTGGGAATATACCTGAAGTCTTCCCTCCCAAAATGGCAGCATTGCATAGAGTGAGATGGAACATGAACAAAGGCAGTGAGAGATGGTTGTGCTTTGGAGGAGCTAGTGGACTTGTGCGTTGTCAGGAGATTGTTTTCTCTAAAACTGATAAGAAATGGGCGTTGAAGAAATAATGGCATTTTATCCGCACTTAAATTTGGTGTCGTGAATTACCTTGCGTGAATATCAACTGTAAATTAAGATCAAATCACACAAGAAAAAATTATAGTCAACGTTGACAAGTCAAATATGTCACATATCAAATTCATTATGAAATGCAGGAACAGTACATGGCTTTTGTAGCAAGTCGACCCCTACGTAGTTTAAATGTGTACCGCGCCTGACTTTTGCACCTATTTAATATTGTTAGGCTTTATTCTTTTATTTAGGATTCAACTTGATTTTTCGAGCTTAAAACGCTCAGTTCTATCTTAGTAAGGTACATTAATGGTCTAACTGGATGAGAAAAGAGTTAAGAAAAGAAAATAGTACATATGTGTAAAAATATAAATAATGTGTTTTGTCTCTCTTTAGTAGTTAGACTAAAGCTATTAAGATATCTATAAAAATTAATTCTATTGAGTAAAGTTTTTAATCATCAAATGAGTTTAAGTTAATGTACGAGTGTTATAATACTTATAATGTCTCACAACGTGTTAATGACAATTAGTGGTATTGTTTGTTTTTACATTCATAGGTTGAGGTATTTATCATATAATTTATGTTGTTTCATGGTTAGAAAAAACATTATTGGGTAAAACTCAGGATTATTTTTCTATATACCATTCCCATCAAATTATGATGTAAACGAAGTTGGGTATAGTTTATTATCATGGGAATGATTTAATATTTTATAAAACTGTAATGGATAGTAGGTAATGGGAGAAATAAAAACAGAGAAATGTTATTTTTGGAAACACTTTTGTTCCATACTCAAATATTCTTGAAAATAAATTTTAGGAGTAACAAAAAATTACGCAACACAAGTATGATATGTTTCCCAGCATATAATTCTAGCTTTCAAAGCATCTTATTCTCGGTGATCATTCCCTGAAGCAAATCACCTTTGAAATGAATTTGCATTTAGCACATTTGAAGCAACTATGTGTGCTTTCAACAAAAAAATGCACTTCGTGCTTATCAAGAGTGGTTTTCTTGTGAGCGGTTGCGAGCTTTTGATAAAAAAAAATTACTACAAATTATTGTTTGTACTATTTTTCTTTTCTTATTCGCACTATTCTTTTACTATAACTTCCAGAATTTAATTTTTAGAAGTATATTTAATACTTTCTAAATTCTAATTGTGTACTGTATGGGATCCATTTCCCCTGCATGGCACCGGTTCAAGTATACATCAACGTATTTTATTTATCTTTTGCTTGACTCATGCTAAATAATGAACTATTTCGCTGAACTCAGCTTTGATATAGTAATGGCCACGACTTAGACTAAAAGATCCAAAATCCAAGCCACCAAATAATGAGTCTTGGATCTTAATTAATTCTGCTGTTTTGCTCATTAGTCAAAATCCCATGCTTTACAATCCTCCAAATTCTCCGCTAAGTGCTGTAACAATCCCAAACATTTATATCATCAAACACAAACATAAATATTATATTTCTTTTTCTCAAATACTGATTGCTAGAGAATGAGCAATACGATGAAGATGTTACAGAATTTCCCACTACTGATCCTCTTTTGCATCTATTCCTTGCCCACGCTGATACAAGGATCGAATCAACATGAAAGAAAGGTATTGTTTTGAGTTATAACCTGTTACTATTCTCAGTGAAGAAGATTCTTCGTTATAGCCTTGATTAATAGGATTTGTCTGAGTTATCCCATGAAATAAATAACCCCATCTTAAGTAGATTAATAAAATTTTATCTTTAAAATATTAAATAAAAATTCGATACAATTTATAATACAATGTCTTAACTTTAATGGTTTACCTAAGATGGGATGATTTACCTTATTATAGGATAACTTACACAAACCCTATAGAATGTTGATCCATGAAATTGACACAAATTTTGTGATTATAAAAAAAAACAGCCTTACATTGTATACATGGGAGAACTGCCAGTGGCTAACACCTATACCCTGGAAGACCATCACCACAACTTGCTGGCAACTGCGATTGGAGAGTAATAATCTCAATTCTCAAGTAGAAGTGGATTTGATCATAATCCTACAAATATTTATTACAATTAATCAGCATTTCTTAGTGATCAATGATCTGTTTTTTCTTCTTTTTTTCACTCTACAGCCAGCAGTTAGCTAGAGAATCCAAAATACATAGCTATGGAAAGAGCTTCAACGGATTCGTTGCACGACTTTTGCCACATGAAGCAGAGAAATTACTAGGTAATACTATGTGTCAGTCTTATAAAAGTCAAATTAATTACTTTAACACAACTTCTCTTTAATGCTCGGTATATATATTTCTCTTATTCGATTCATCTTTGGTATTTTATTCTGTGCAGAGGAGAACAATGTGGTTTCTGTTTTTCCAAATAGATATAACAGATTACACACGACAAGATCATGGGATTTTCTTAGAATGCCTCTAAAAGTGAAAAGACGCTTCAATATAGAAAGCAATATCATTGTCGGTCTGTTAGACACAGGTACAAATTAAACTATTAATTTCAATAAGATTTGTCATAAGTTACTTCATACAATTAAATAACTCTCTCTTTAAGTGGACTAACGAATTTAAGATATTATATTAAAAAATTTATTAATTTTTATTAGATAAAATCTTATTAATTCATTTAAGATAGGGGTTATTTATTCAATGAAATAACTTAAATAATCCCAAATCAATATTAATAATAAGTTAAATTGGTCATATTTCATTTATGGAATGTTCATATATATTCTTTAACATTCAAACAGGAATTTCGCTTGATTGCCCCAGTTTCAACGATAAGGGGTATGGGCCTCCCCCACGCACATGGAAGGGCAAATGCATGACAGGAGCCAATTTCACCGGATGCAACAAGTATTTTTTTTTTTTTCTTTTTGTCAAATTTTCCTGACGAATAACCAAAGAAAAAAAATAGATTTATAGGAAATTTTGTTTCATATATTATATTATATATATTACGATATAAATGTTCCTGCTTTGATTTTCAAAATATTTGTTGTTTTGGATAATTATTTTATTTTGTACATTTAATAAACTAAAAGAATACACTTTTTTAGGATTGTCTCTTAATATTTTTAGTAAATAAAATATGTAGAGCATCTAAAGGTATACTTTTTTTTAATATTTTAATCCACGATAATCAATTAAATGTATTCATATTTTCAATATTTCCTATAATAAACAACACTCATACACGAGTGCAGTACACTGGAATCACTGCAAAACAGTTATATAAACTATTTTATACACTTTATAATAATAATATTATTACTTATGTGATACTCTTCATTTTTTTATATTTTTTTATCATATAACATTATTTATTATATTTATGATATTTTTTTTCCTTTTATCTCTCTAGAGATTTACACTTTATAAGGTTTACCAAACATTTTTTATATAAACAAGAGATGACATATTATTTGTGCATGTTGAACCTAATATATTGCATGGCACCATGCATGTACATGCAGCAAATTGATCGGAGCAAAATACTTCAACCTACAAAACTCAACCGAGGGAGATCTTAGCCCTGCCGACGAAGATGGCCATGGCACTCACACCGCGTCGACGGCAGCCGGCGTGGTGGTAAAGGGTGCCAGCCTTTACGGCGTAGGGAAAGGCAACGCGCGTGGCGGCGTGCCAAGTGCCCGCATAGCAATGTACAAAGTGTGTTGGAGTGGGTGCAGTGACATGGATTTGCTGGCTGGTTTTGATGAAGCCATAGCTGATGGTGTCAACCTCATATCTGTGTCATTAGGAGGGACACCAAGGAAGTTCTTCAGTGATCCAATGGCAATTGGAGCATTTCATGCTATGAAGAGAGGGATTCTCACCTCTTGCTCCGCCGGCAACAGTGGTCCTTCCACCATGACAATTGAAAACGTGGCTCCTTGGATTTTGACTGTGGCGGCTTCCGCCACCGATCGGCGATTCACCACCGTGGTAGACCTTGCTGATGGCAAGAAAGCTGCTGTGAGTAGTATTCATTTCTTCATCTCTATCCTACTCATTATATGCTCATACTCTCTTTAAAATCAAATTATTTCTCTTCTTTTCTTGTTTTTACATTTAAAAGTAATGCCCAACAAAAAAACTAACTGTTATAAGTCAAGGAACGTTGATAGCTGTAAAAAATTTTAGTGGCATTTCATCTTCTGATCAATAGAACAAGAAAGAAGACAGCTGTTTAACTTCATTTTAAGTAGCTTGAGTTACAGTTTACAGTAAGAGATTTTATTATTATATCTGATTTAAATAGTTTAGTTATGACTTTGTTTAAAATATATACTCATAGTTAGATTTAACTCCTAGAAATGGACTTTGTATTTTATACACAACACTCACGAGAAGATGTTTATATATTTCAAAATAAATTTTATATTTTTTAAATCGGAAAATACGCTTTGAAATATAATTGCAACTGTTAATTAAAAATTGATTAAAATTGTAAATTCTTTTAATGTGTGTACAATAACACAATATAATAACTTATTAAATATTATAATTTTTAATAAAAAATAATTTACTTATTTATTGTTGTGTACCTTTAACCGAAATAAAAAAATTGTTAAATTTGTGATAAAATATTTACATAAACAAAATATTAAAATTTTAATCATTAATATTTTTCCATCCAATAATTAATCACTGTATTTTAATCTTTGTTTGCTTTGGAGGTGTTAAATACATATTATTACACTCACACCCAGTTTGTTATGATACTCATTTGAAATTTTGAAACATTGAGAGCCCGTGCTTATATTGCTGTTGATGTAGAGATGCAAGCATAAAAAGAGAATATATTATATGCGTTTGATAATAGCGCCCTTCATACATACCGAAAATATGAGGTTTGAGTATCTAGCTCAGCCATTTAAGATATCAGGCACATTAAATACCAATTTACATGTATCAAACACCTCATGTGATGTTGCAAATAGCTTATTTTGCTATATAATTGATTGGCAGGGAATATCTATTAACACCTTTTCCCCAGAGAAAAATATGTACCCACTAACTAGTGGAGCCCTTGCTTCCAACGTTAGCGGAGACAGCTATGGCAATGCCAGGTAACGTTCATACTTCATACTGAACCTTGAGTGCTTAAAAAAATGGGCATTTCTTAAAGAACTATGATCAGTTTGAGACTAAAACTATGATGCAGTGCATGTGATTATGGGACTCTAAGCATGGACAAGGTAAAGGGAAGGATCGTGTATTGCCTTGGCATGGGCAACGAGGACTTCGTCATCAAAGGATTAGGTGGAGTAGGAACCATTGTGAGTGTTTCAGATCAAACAGATTACTCCCCCTCCACCACTATTATTCCAGGGGTCTATGTTGATGCCAAAGCTGGGGGTAAAATCATTGACCTCTACATAAATTCCACCAAGTGAGTTTCTTTAATTTTTTATTTCACTTATTATACCATGCCCAAATTTGTTATGTTTGAACTCTTTCAAACCAATTAACATGAAGAAACCAATGCATGAATTTAAATTCAGAAATGCTCAAGCTGTTATACACAAAACTACAAGTACAAGAATTCCTGCACCATTTGTTGCTTCTTTTTCATCTAGAGGTCCTCAATCCATCACCTTCAACATCCTAAAGGTGATGATTATCTTGCACCCTTTTGTTCTCTTTGGCTAGTGAGTAATTCTTGCATGAGTATAGTGATTATAGGCACAACTAATCCAAAGTTCAAGATGCATTAAAATAATAATAAAGTTTATACTAAAGCTATGGTAATGTTATCCTAAGCGTTTAAATAGTTGTGCCTAGAGACACTATACTTAAAATTAGCCTTGGTTTGTGGTTTCTAATTTTCAGGATTTTCTATGTGCAGCCTGATTTGGCTGCTCCAGGAGTGGATATTCTAGCTGGGTATTCCAAATTAGCAACAATAACAGGTTCCTCTGAAGACAACCGTCGTAACTTTTTTAATATATTATCAGGAACATCTATGGCTTGTCCACATGCAACTGCTGCTGCAGCCTATGTCAAATCTTTCCACCCTGATTGGAGCCCTTCTGCAATTAAATCTGCTCTCATGACCACTGGTGAGAAACACTTCTAATGCAAATCCATTATATATAGATATAGTCTTGTCTAGTATTGAGAGTAATCTTTTTCTTTCCCTCAGTAGAAATTGGAACTATGTGATAAGAGCTGTTCAGGATCATTTCATCAACAGTATATTTTACTTTAAAAGAAAGGCTTAGGTTGAACTTCGATCACTTGTAATCCTCAAAAGCTATATTTATAATTAACAGACCTTTGATGGGTGCAGTATTTTTAACCAGCTAGTCACCTTAACTACTAACTAAGAAACATTTAATATAATTTATTAATATATTTAATTATTTAAAATATAAGTATTAAATGATGTTCACAATTTTTTTATAGGATTCCGCTAACTAATGTCTTAAAAGCATTGGTTAAAAAATTAATATATAATATAACTTTTAATTCCTTAACCTAAGGACTTAGTTAACATTTTCCTTTTTTATATGATAAACACTTTCTAATTTCTACTTTTCGTTTTCTTAACAAGTTTCCTGAAAACTCTTGTTAGGTTTAGTCTTTATATAAACTATCTGCCCCCTTATGAACAGTTCTGGTTCCTACTGTGTACTTGTAGGCCCATATATTGATGTGGCATGTCCTGGCCTTATTATGTGGTAGCCTCCCCCTCAGCCTACACTTCTGTAAACAAATTTTTTAAGAGAAGTTTGAATTATATTAATATGATTTTAGCAATTAAACAAGCCAGATTCAGTTTCTAATCTATTTTGGGCCCTATGATTCAGCAACTCCAATGAAAATCAAAGATGACACAAAAGAGCTAGGATCCGGGTCAGGACAGATTGACCCAGTGAGAGCACTGGATCCTGGCTTACTTTACAACATCAACATCAACTCCTATATTGCATTCCTATGCAAAGAAGGCTACAACAGCACCAGCATCGGAATACTAATTGGAAGCAAAGGTTTTGATTGCTCCAGCATTGAGTCTCCATCAGGCACTGATGGAATCAACTACCCTTCTATGCATATTCAGATCATACCTTCAAATTCCAGCATTTCTGCAGTCTTTTATAGGAATGTGACCAATGTTGGATTTAGAAACTCGACTTACAAAGCTAAAGTCACAGCACCAAAGGGTCTTTCCATTGAGGTTATCCCAGACACTTTAAAGTTTAGTGAGTTGAACCAAGAATTGTCGTTCAAGGTTGTCCTTAAGGGGCCTCCAATGCCGAAAGAGACAAAGATATTATCAGCATCACTTGAATGGAATGACTCTAAACACAGTGTAAGAAGCCCAATAGTGGTCTATAAACCGACTTTGTGAACTGAAGCTTGTGGTGGGCACATTACATAGCTTAGGATTTAGGAAGTATCAAGAGTTTTAATATTTAATTTTCATTATGTATATGGAAGTTGGAGAATGGTGATTTCATTTAGTGTAATGAAAAGATATTTAGTTGCATGGATTATTCATTGATTCAAGGGCAATTGTCAGTCTTGAGTATGAGTTTTAGTGGTTTCAGTGAGATTTGAGAATGATTGAGGAGTGCGTTTTTGGCACTCCGAGATTAGATTTTATGAGGTATACCCATGTATGCATCAAGGAATCATACATAATGATTAAAAATAATTCAAAAATTGCAAAGAAAAGGTGCCAAATGGTGGTACCAAATTTATGCATGAAGTAGTTCAAAAACTTTGGGAGGAAGTTTTCTTTGTTCTGCAAGATGGCATTTATCACAAAGACAAACTATAACTTAAATGAGTTGATTGTGGAATATTTCCTCTTTGTGAATGTATAATACTCAGTTTTTCATAAGATAGTGCCACAGATCAATATATGCATGAAGAAATACATTTACGTTGTATATTTGGTGGTTGAAGATAGAGGTGTAAGAAAGGTGAAAACACCATCAATCTCTATGGCTGTATTAATTAAAAAATAAATATTAGGTGATAAATTCATTAACCCAAAATATGTGAGTGAGAGGGATGTTCATGAATTAGTCCTAACTATGAAAATATTTTAAAATTATACTTAAAATCTATTATTTTAAAATCTTAATTAAACATTAATTTAGGTTTTTTTTCCTTTTCTTTTTATTATTCTTCAATATCGTACAATATCGTTATAAAAAATCAAATACATTAAAAATATATTATTATTAAAAAAATAATATTAATAGCATATTAATTTCAAATATATAAAACTATATTTTAATAAATATTTTAAATAAACAAAATTATTCTTAAAAGTTAATATCAATAAAAAATTTATAACTTAATTGAATTACATATAAATGTATGTATATTTTAATATTAATAGTTAAATTTTCAAATCATAGTTATTAAATTTTTAACATATTTCTAAACATTCATTTATTTGTTGTGTTAAAAAGGCAATGGGTAGGGTATGGGTAGGGTACTACAGTACCCATCCCCATACCCGCGTTTTAAAAAAATACCCGTACCCGGCCCCATACTCGCGTGGGTATGAACATTAATCTCCGTACCCGTACCCTCTGGGTATCCGCATACCCGTCTTGTATCCATTACCGGCGCTTGTTTGAGAAAAAATTATTTATAAAGAAAAATATGTTTATATAATTTCACATAAATAGCATAATAATACAAAAATTCAATATGTAGTTGTCGAACAAGGTACAAATATAGATAAAAAAACAAATTTTCAAAGATCATAAATGTTAAATGTATCTTAATATAATAATTTTCTAAACTAAAATTCTTAGAAACAATAAGCAAAACTAAACACACAAGTTATTTGTTAGTGATAATCCTATCTTGTGTGAGATTTGATTGATTGGTAATGTCAGAACGACAACGAAATAGATCTGTACAATGGTTGTCCCTTCGTGTGGGATTACTTAGTAACCTCTTGTGACGGCATTAACAACTAACTCTAATGAATAACATTTCATAGTTATTAAGTTTTAGTGAGACAGACATTGAGAATGAAAATAGAGTTAGAGTAGAGAAGTTTAATACTAACAATAGAAAGTTGATACATAAAATATTTTTTTTAACTTTTGAATTTGAAATTGTAAGAAAAATAATAGATTTAATTAAAATAAAATAATATAATATATATATATATATATATATATATTAATACTAGTATTTTTTAACTCATATACTATACGAAAGTATTTTATCAAAAATATAAATTTTTGAAAAATTATTTTAGTGAATTAAATATTTTTAATGTATATAAATTTTAAAAAAAAGAATTTGAATAAAAGATAAATAGTTACAATAAAATTTTATAATAAAGAAATATATGTGTATATTAAAAAAATTATACTTTTTTATCTTAAAAAAATTAACAAATAAAAATTATCAATAATTTTTTATATTTACATCTTTTCAAAAACTTCTTTAAATGTGAATAAATAATAAGAATAATATTATTTAGATTCAATAAATTATAGTTGTGCTTGTAATACATATGTTGCATAGAAAAATATTATTTTAAATTAAAATATAAAAATAAAATTTAAATATTATTAATAAATAATAATTTTACGATAATAGTAGGTGATTGTAAAATTTATAAAATATTTATAATATATTTATTATTTATCATTCACTTTATGATTTAAACATCAATATGATTTTATTAACAAAAATATTTGTGTAAAAAATATTTTATGTGTGTCATATATAAATAATATTTTTAAAAAAGTCAATCTCATATTAACTATGTAATAATTAAATTGTGTTAGCCGAATTAAATGATATAAAATAGTAAATAAATTTTTCTATTAAAAATATAAACCAAAATAAATTTATTGGTTTACTTTATTATTAAATATATTTTTATATTAATCTTATATAACTTCACATAAGTAATATAATAATACAAAAATTCAATTCATAATTGTAAAATAAAGTTTAAGCATATATATATATATGCGGGTATGGGGCGAGGTGGGTACTTAGATACTCATACCCGCACTCATCCCCATTAAAATTTGCGAATTTTTACCCACACCTATACCCGTACCCGTATAGTGGGTAAATACCCTACCCATTGTGGGTAAATTTTGTGGGTACCCATCGGGTACTTTACCCATTGCCATCCTTATACATGTTTGTTCTTCTCCAAAACTCGTTTCTTTTATCTTTATTATTTTTTTAATTAATTACTTTAAAAAATCAACCATAAAATATATAAATTATGAAATAAACTTTAAACAAATAATAAATATTTTTTATAAAATATATATTTATAAATCTACATATACACTTGCACTATAAAAAAATATAGATTATTGTTGTTAAATTATTTTTTTTCTCATCTCTTTATCATTTGTCAATAAATACTATTCATCATAACAAACTTAAAAGCTTAAAATATTATAATTTTATGATAAAATTAAAAAAATACTAAATTTAAATGATTCAAAGAATTAATTTAGTTATATATTTATATTTAAATGATAAAAAATAGATATAATAAGAATACTCATTTCATTTCATATTAAATTTTATTTAAACATTTTATATTTATTTTAAATTATTTATTACTTTATAATATTAAAAATAAATTACTTTAAATATAAATCTTACCAATTAATCGTTGTAATAAACTTAACATTATTTCAAGAATAATTTTTACTATCTAAATTCTAATAAATTTAGTATTTTTAATATAAATAATTTAATAAAATAAATTTATTTAATCATAGTAATTAATAAAAAAAAATAATCATTTTATTAAGATACATGTATTGATACTAAATAATATCTAAAAAAATTATATCAAAAAATAATAAGAGATAATAACATAAAAAAACTTATAAAAAACATCTTAACAAGTTTTATATAAATTATAAATATATTTAATATATAAAAAGTATCAGATTATTTTTTCATATGATATTTAATAATATATACCAAAATGTGATTTTTTTTAAAAATTATGAAAATATGAAATTAAAAAATTGTTAATAGAAATTTTTATATAGATATAGAAATTCAAGAATGCAACTAAAAATTTTAAAAGTTTTAAAACTTGCAGATTATTTTTCAAAAAAAAAATAATTTTTTTTAAAATTCAAAACTCGTCAATAACAAAAAAGATGTCATTTGCGATTCTTTTCATTTTGAAAATTCTTTATATTTTCATAATTTTTTCATCTTGTAGCACTAGGAGCACCGTAGGAAGCCATGCTTCTTGAAACAGACATCAAAAGTGTGACCTTTTCTTTTTCACTTCACTCCATGAGTGGTAATTGCTTCTATTGAGAAAATCTTAACATGTGACTTTGAGATTTAGTTAGTCTAATTGCTTCTACAGTGCTTTAGTTTATTTAGTTTAATGCATGGAATTGATTATATTTAACTCCACTCAAAACACACATCAAGAAAGAAATATTTAACAACAAAAATCTCTCATTTCTTATAAAAGACACTTGGATGATGGTGTCACAAAAGTAGCTACAAGAGACACAATTCTGTCTCACAGTCATTGATTTGTAGGTAGTTTCTTAAATCAGTAACCCAAATATACTTATTTTTCTGGTTTCTTGGATTGAGATTAGGGGACAAACAGGCTGGTGAAGCAGGAATGTGTGGGTGTATATACCTGCATTCCTCTGCCACCACTTTATTTTATTTTTAATTTTAAATATTTGTATCTAACTTTTGGGCATCCAGCAAAAAGAACTAAGGGAACTCTTACAGTGGATCCTTTTCTGATCCGAATCTTAATGACAGCCATATTCTATGATCCTCGCAGTTCAAAATGTGAATATAGTAACAAGGTCACATTTTTTTACATTCATGTACACGTGTATAAGACTGGTACTGTGATTTTAAGGTAAATTGTAAATTAAATTTTAGACACGGTCTATTATCATCTTTTAAGCACTTATATTATTATTTGACGTAGAAATACTTCTTATGATAAATACATTTCTATCATGATCCTACCATCTTGAATATGTCAAACACTTTAGAAGTTTTCAGTGCTGTTTGAACTTAGAGCAACTTGATCTTCTTAAAGTCACGAAAGCAATTTGACACGTTACTTGTGGAGATTTCTTGTGGAAGATATTTGTAGTATTAAATGACCTCTACCACAGATCACATAGCTGATCTCAATGTTAACCAAATTTGGCATTAATAAGCTTTTCACTAGAAGGGGATTTTAACCCAATTTGGCGTTAATAAACTTTTCACTACAAGAGGATTTTAACCTGATTTGGCATTAATAATAAGCCTTCCACTAGAAGGGATCGCATCAAACGCTTTTTCATTTATCCTCATGTCAGTGGAAACATCCGTCAGATAATTTAATAAAAACGTTTAGATTTTTATTAACACCAAGTCCTTAAAAGTTGAGATAACATAGAGAATATATGTTTTACATTAACTATTAACTAAAGCACACCTAGCTTAGCACCTAAAGCATACATAATCATAAGATCAGTTAACAGAATTCTCATCACTGTAAATTTGAGTGCCATTGGGGGCTGTTAAAGCCGTAGGTGATACAAGACCACCCATTATCATGTATGAAGAAGGAGAAGGAGGAAGTTTTGGAGAAAGGTTAAGCATTTCCAAGGCCTGTAGTCTAAGCTCTACAGGGTAGTCAGCAACACACCCAATTCTAGGTCCAGCTCCTGTTGACCATTTACGTGAAAGTTTATGCCCCAATTGATAGGACTTTGAGGCCTTCTTGGAATTGATTCTTTGCAATATTGCTGTCTTGGGTACCTCAGCCCTTGGGCTCTGAAGACCACCTGATAGAGTCCTTTTATAACTACCAACAGATCCAGGTCGAGGTTCTTCATTATTTGATGATAGGGTGTTCTCAGATTCCTCAGAAATTCCAAGGTCAGGTACATTTGTATTGGTAGAATCTTCAGATGCTGTTGTGAAAGTTTCACTAGGCTTTCCATCGTCGTAAGCATCAGTGTCATCCTTTGAATTGCGTATCTGAAACAAGGAATCAGAGTCATTCAATAAAAATGCATGTGAGTATTACCGTGTTTTCCAATTAATTATTAAACATTCTGGCCATAAATGATCAATGTCTTCCCGAAGAAAAAGCTTTTAAAAAAAAATTATAATAAATCTAGAGTTAATCTATACAGGAATGGCTTGGTGCTAATCAATTACCTCAACTTCATCAAGGTTGACACCATTTTCCTTGAGATATGCTGAGAAGGTGTTGAGTGTGTCATCGGTTGGCCGGTAGTGTCCACTATATGCAGAGATTGACTGAAAAGTCAAAGCCATTGAGAATCAGACATTTGTCAATGCACATACATTGGAATTAGCAAACAGCACAAGATGTCGATGTCTATCAGTGTGATTCCATGCGCATAGCCATATTTGCACCATAAAAAACAAAAAGAAAAAAGATGATAGCAGCGCACTATCACTGAGACTGTGAATGGGACCATCTCATATTCATACAAAAAGTTTCTAATGGCACAAAATTTTGATTAATCATGCAACATATGATGATGCTAATTGTACCTTAAGAATGCCATGCTCAACCTCCAGCCTTCCAGCAGCTAAAGTGGCTCCACCAGCCAAGAATGAAGAATGATGAAATAATCCTTTCTTTTTCTGAAAGGTTATTACAATGTATCGATAATTTTGGACAGAAATGGCGAAGTATCTATACATTACATAAATGAGAAAATTGAAAACTAGAAACAATAACCGATCTTGAATTGTTACCTTGCCAGCATAAAGTTTCTTAGAGGTGCTCATTACAAATATCCACTTGGCATCCTCAGAACCTTCTTTTGTATCAAGAAAATCCCCAGATTGCTTGTGGATGATTCTTCCCTCGCTGACAATGTATTCATGGTGCTCTCTCTCTTGCTAATTTAGAAAATTGTTAACAAAGATCAACAAGTCAGTTTGAAAGTCAATAAAGTCAATGTCAGCTATAATTAACAAAAAAAAAGTAATAAATCCAATCAGTAAGTGCACATACAGGTCCAAGATACTTTATGCATTGTTTTCGGAGTTTCGATCTGGAGCATTGTTCAAGATCAAGATTTTTCCCATTTCCTAAATCCAACCTGTAGAATGAGAAAAAGAAGTTTCAGATACAAAACTACAACTTTGCTCTCTGATCATTCTACCCAGCATCTTTCTCTACACCTTAACCCAAGTTGTAACAAGCTGCAACATTCTTAAAACAAGAGATAGTAAACAAAATTAAAACTCCCCATTTCATCTAACTAATCTGTAATGCTTATTTTTCGAAAGAAGATTATGAAATTTAGCATCCCAATAACAGGGTCAAAAGCAAAGCATATTCATTCCACAATGGAACTATCCAATATCAACAGCATATATGTTACCAATAAAAAATGGTCTTATTTCGATAGTCACACACCCAGTTCAATTATAAGCCCAATTCAGTTAGTCTCACCAATAAAAGAAAGGCTGGCCAGAATCCGTTTTGCACCATTCTTCATAGTAATAATGCAAGTTATGCCCGTAGCGGTGGCGCGGATCAATCTACAGTTGAGATAAGAATCTGTTGGTCAAATCAAACATAACAAGCTAAAAATAAATAAAGAAATAAAAAGGGGTTGAGGAATTGCATGCTCACAGCTTCAATCCAATGCTGAAAAGCCAATTTTTGTGCCTTGGCATCTAAGGACAACCCCTTTCCCACCTGCCAAAAAAAGTTGACTTCAGAATCCAACATCAAAATCGTCCTTTTCCGAGTCAATAATCACAAGCACAATATCTTCCAAACTAAACGTACAAAGATCCGTATAACACGTATAAGTCTACGTACAAAAAAAAAACAAAAAACAAAAAAAACAAAAAAACGAAATTTTAGAGAGAGAGACCTTGGAAGCATTAAGTTTGACCCTACTCCACCGAGACGCAGCACTCTCAGGCAAATTGAAGAACGAAATGGTGCTGTGGTTTAGCCTCGCAAAATCAATCACTTGCCACCTTCACAAATTAACATGTTTTTTCTCAATAATACTTAAAAAGAATTTAATATATTTTTATTATGTTAGAAATCAAAACATACTTTAAATATAATATATTAATAATATTAAATATTTAAATTCTTAATAATAAGTTATTATTTATTAATTTTTTATAACACACATTAAAAAATTACCCTAGTATTTCCATTTTTTATGCTGTATCCAATAGTCAATAAATAATTTTTTATAAAAAATTTATAACATCTAATAAAAAGATCATCACGTGATATAACAATTTATAATATTAAATATTATAATTTTTAATAAACATTTTCCATTTATCTATTATTATCGTGTGTTGTTGGAAAATGTTATTGAAGAAAATTAAAACAAAAAAATCATATTAATAAAATAAACTAGATAGCTAGAGAGAGAGAGTTTCCATGCAGAGAGGACGCACCAGAGTTCCTCGGCAACGACGGCTGAATCAGCCAACCTGCGGCGGGTGCGGTAACTCCGGTACACCTTCTGCACCCTAAGGGCAGCGTTGGTCTGAGGGCACGCGCGTCCTGGAGCGTGGGGCTTGGGTGATTCGTGATTTTGAGTGTTAATTTCGGGTTCTGGAGCATTAAAGGAGTGGGATTGTAGGAGTTGGTCGGGGGAGAGAGGAAAGGTGGAGTCCGGGTATTCGGAGCTCCGAAATTGGGATGCGTGAATGTCAAAAGGGAATGGGGGTTTGGGGTTGGGGTTGGAGTTGGAGTTGACATCGAAAGCAGAGAGGGTGTGGGTGTGGGTGTGGGTGTGGGTGTGAGTCTGAACCTCCATATGTGCAGAATCAAGGGATGGAGAGAGAGAGTGAGAGAGAGAGAGGAGGGGCTTTGTTTTCACCACTGAGTTTGATCGTTGGACTTGTTCTTTAGGAATATGAAGAGGGAAGAGGGAAGAGGGAAGAGAAAGCTCACACATTACGTTGAAGTTAGCAACTTATATATATGGAGTGGGAAGGAGCACAGCCTGTCCATTTCTTTATTATTTTTTTATTTTCTATTTTCTCCTCTTCCTACGCGCTTCATTTGTGCTTCTCCTACCCCTCGCTTCTTCTTCCCGAGAGAGAGAGAGAGAGAGAGACTCGTTTACCGATTGTTAATCAGTACAAGAAGACAACATTAAATAAACACAAGTGCATTTTAAAATTTGCAAATTTAATTGTGTCAAACTTGATTAAGTAAAACTTCTAAGAAAAACGTTCATTTTAAGTCTTTGATCGCATGAACTAAATAATTATATTTAATAAATTATAAAGTGACTATTATTTTTAATAAAATAAAATTAAAAAATATTATTTTTTACAAACAGAAGGAATAATTAAAATTATTCTAAATTTATATTTTTAGCATTAAGTTTAAGTATTTAAACATGCATTTTTATTAAAAATAAATATATTATTACATTAAAATTAAAAAATATTAGATATATTTTTAATAAAATTTACTTTTATTATTCTTTAAATTTAGTCCTAAAGACTAATTTTAATATTCTTTAATGATTAATAATAAATTCTAAGAGTCGACACAATGATATTAGGTTTGTTCATATATGTATGATTGATATATTTAATAAAAAATTTATGTTAAAATTTATTATATATAAAAGAATTAAACAAATAATAACTATGATTATAAAAAATATTTATTTAAAATTTTATAAAAAATACTAGTTTGATTTTCCACCATACACTTCAACTATTAATCATCATTATTATTTATTTATTTTGTTTTTTATTAAATAAATATTAAATATTAAATATTAAATATTAAAATTTATGTATATTTTAAAATATCATAGTATATTCTCAATAATATAATATTTTAAATAATATAAATTTTATATATTTCAATTATTAAAAAATAAATAAAATATTAAATTGATAAACTTTAATATTATAAAATTATCAAAATACATATAAAATAAATATTTCCATATGTGGGTTTAAAATAGGATTTTAAATTTATTATCAAGATTCGTAATATAATTATAGTTAAACGTATTTTTTAAAATATATGATACTTTTAGTTTATCTCATTTTAATTTTTTATTCATTAAATTCTATATTTCTTAAAAAGTGCAACAATTAAATTATTGCTAACTTTCATAATAGTTGTTCGACTTAATAATTCTTTGAAAATATTAAATTTTATCAATTTAATCATTAAATTAATCAATATTTTAAAAATAAATTAAATATAAAAAATAATATAAATAAAAAATTTAATAATTTATTAAAAAAATTAATATTTAATATATTTTTTTAAAATATAAATAAATATTAATTATAAAATTTATATTTATAAATACTTAATTTATCTAAAATTTGATATATTTTATTAAAAAGAGTATGTCACCTTTTACAATGATTAAATTAACAAATTTAATATTTATAAAGAATTATTAAATTAAATAGTTTAATCTTCATTCTAATAATGTGTTTTATAATTTTTTAACTAAAATTGAATAATTTTATAAATTTTAAATATGTTATAAGATAAATTTAAAAATTCATATTAATTTATAAAAGCATTATATTTTCATAAATTATAAATGTATACAAAGCTTAAGTTGTTTAATTATATAAAAGTACGTATTTTTTGTTTACATCAGCGTAAAGTTCCTCCAAATGTATACAAGAGTGATGAAGTGCGTGCATGTATCGGATCCTTGTATAAAATGACTCACTCAGAGAAATGAATTGAGAAAAAGATGGAAGGTTAAATGATTCGAAATAATTGGTTTATCAAATACTAAATCGAATTTATTTATTTTGACTTTAAACTAAGTTATATAAATTAGAGTTGAACCCTTCTTTCTTTCTTTTTTTACAGATATATAATTTTTTTTTTCTGAAACAGATATATAAATTTGAACATAGGTTTTATGAACTTGACAATATTAAAAGCTTGTATTAAATATATGAATAAAAATATTTTATATTAGTAATATTTAATAAATACAACTCTATTTTTAGATTTAAATCATCTAACTTCCATGTTTTATTTTTTATTTTATTTTTGCATGAAAATAGTTTCTTATTTATTAAATTAACATATTTAATAAATTTATTAAAATTAAATAATTTATCATATTTAATGTTTATTATTGTTCGAAGAACGACACATGAAGTTCAAATTAAGAACCAATCACTTAATAAATTATATTAACTGACATACATTTTTTTCAACTTGCATTATCTACGATAGTACAAGATCATTGACATACATTAGAAAATTATAATAATGATTTGTGAGAGCTTAAAAAAACAGTTATTTTTCATTCCATTTTTATACAAATCATGATTTGAAACATAAACTAATGTAAACATAAACAAACTATAAATTCGCTAAACATATTGATTTTAAAAAACAAAAACTAAACTCTGATTATTATTAAGCCCACTGGCAGTGGCACTAAACTAAAGGTTGGTGAAAAAAATGCTATACTTAAAGTTAAAATGTGGATTTGAAACAAAAATGAAATTAGAGGAGCATATCTCTAATTTTATCTTACTGTTTTATTTCATGCGTGTTTGTGGACCCTAAACAAAATCTTAAAGTTTAGAAGGTGGAGTTGTCTAATTTCAAATGTAAAATTTGGAACATAGAATGATAGATTTGACTTTCACACTAATACTCATCGTCTTTCCCGACAAGCTCGTTACTATTGTACCCAAATCTATCTAATTACTCGAGTTGGGGAACAAATTAATCTTTATTTTTATGTGACATAGAATAAATTCTTTGGATTATTTTAAACAATTATTAATTTCATTTCAATACATTACAGTGTAATAAATTTGAACACTGTCATTTAACCATAAATTATTATATCAACAAAAATTATTGATTTCTATAATAATTAATATAAAAGTTATATCTATAGTATATTATAATTAATTGATAGGATAAAAAGTTTTATTTTTATAGTACACTAAATATATTAAAATTTTTACTAATATTTTAAATTAGTGCCACATATTAGCATATATATATATATATATATATATATATATATCGTCGTGATTAGTATTTGTATTTAAACCATGAGAATTTTAGAAGCTGTCGCATCTCTGGAGCTTTAAGAATGGAAAATATTGTTTCTACCATTGCCAAGGGGGATTTAAAGGTGATTTGTGGCTATCTTTGACTCTGAACTGAATTTTGAGTGGGTATTGGTATTAATTTTATTATAATTTGACATGCAGTAGAATTTATATAAATTATTAGTTTACATTTAAGTTTATAAATAAATTTTAAAAAATTAATCGATCTCCTTTTAAGATTATTTAAGCAAATATTAAAAAAAAGTTATTATATCAATGTTTTCATAGGTTTTTCTGAATACAAAATTAAATACTATTTATCATATTTTATTGCATATTAACTATTATGTAAAAATAAAGAATAAAATAATCATAAGAATTTAATAAAACAAAGTGTGTTTCAAAAGTTTAAAAAAAAAATTAAAATAAAGTTAAAATTAGTACACACAGAAAATATATATAAAACTTAATGGATTATAATTGTTATTATTTAAAATATTTAATATAAGATGAAATGAAATGCAACTTATTTTAATTTCTTCCCATCTCAATTTGAAGAGGTTTAACAAATAACTAATTTATTATGATTTTGTTTAATTTCTGAACAATGAATGAAACTTACTTTACTTAATTTTATAATATTTAAAAGAAAATAATCATTTTACATTAATATAAGTTTAAAAACTTTTTATATTTAATCTGAATCTTTTATTAAACTTATATTTAATGATTAATAAAATAATAAATTATAATGTATTAGATATAAATTAAATAAAAAATTTAAATTAAATATAAATTTTTTAAACTTAAACTAATATAAAAAGATCTTACTCTATATTTAAATATTAATATAGAATTATTTTATACCATATTACTTAACATTAGATATTTAACATGATTGAATAATGAAAATTTTAGCAAATTATTATTATTCTATTTTATTAATTTTAAATGTAACGTTAAATTATTGAGAAGAAATCTTTACTTTAATATTATTTTCTAATATATTATATAATTTTAATAGAGGATCAGTTTAAAAAAATAATAATAAGAATGGTATTGATATTTATATAAAAATAATAAAACATTCACGTAGACTATTCCTTTTAGTTTTTTTTTTTCCTATAACACATCTTCTATAAGTTTTGGAGATCCTTTTTATAAAATACTTTATAATTTTTGTAAAATATTTATTATAATTTTATTTATCTTTAATAAATAAAATTAATGAAAAAATGAATTTAAAAATATAAAAAATAAATATTAACAGTGAAAATAAGTTCAATCACGAAAGTTAAATTATCATATTATAATATTTAAAATATAAAAAATTTAACTATCTTTTACTACTTCTGTTGACATATGCAATTTAATTAATACCAATAGTTACTACTATATAATGCTGAATTATATTGTTTTTTATTATTCTTATATATTTTTTAAAAATTATAATATTTTTATTTTATTATAAATTTATTTATTAGAAAAATGTTATTTTATAATTTTTATTCAAAAATAATTCTAATTTTATTCATTATTTCAAATTTTTTATTTTTTATTTTTTATTATTATAATATTATTTTATAATTATTTTAAATATTTCAGATTTTGTATTATTATGATAATATTTTGAATTTTAATATTATTTTTCTATTATTATAATTAAAATTTAGTTGATATTAGATTAATTGATAACTTTTCATGAAACGCGAGATTTATTAATATAATAATT